ATCATTTGGGCAAATATAAAAAGGATTCCCCAACTAAAATTTCCTTTATTAACCTTTGGTGAAGAATACATTTGTATATTTTCAGAAAACAACTCCAAGACCATGTGGATTCCTGCAACAACGGATACAGAGAGAAACTGACCCGATTGCTCCAGCCACAAAGATAGGAGAGACAGTTCAGAGATGGAGATGGTGAAGACGCCTTGCCATGCTAGCAGTCAGTAGCTGTGCGGCCCTGCAGGGTGCCCAGGACCAAACCAGAGAGGACCAGACCTGCATTTGTCCACCATCCAGAACCAGCATTTCATTGCTGGCATGTACACATGAACTGTCGGACATTGAAACTTGGACTCAGAACTGTTGGACATTGATTTTGGGACTTAAACATTTTTTGTTCTTGTATGTTTATTTCTGGTTTTATAAGGAAAAAATAAGGGGGAGATGTGGGGAACAGTTTACTGCCTTCACTATCTGATAAGCATAGATAGAGAACCCCCCGAAGGCTGGGTGCCTTTGAACCCCTGGCAAAGGTTGGAGCTAGGCGCCACCTGTGTTTGTCCAGACAGTGGTAGCTGAAACTACTCCCCCATTTATTATTATGTAAATCCTTGCTGATGGGCTAGTCTGCCTGTTGCAGGGGGTCACCTGCCTAAGGGCTATGCTATGGGTGCATCCCAGATCAATAAAAACTTGGTGAGGCCTGAGCACGGGAGGAAGTCCTTCCCCTTGAGTTGGACTTTCCCGCCTGGTCCCCCAATATTCCAAATTATCTCGTCTTCATTTTCATTTGTGTGCGGCTCTGCTTCCAGTTCCTGAACCCTGACCCACGCGGGACGTGGGAAGGAAACACTCAACACTCTTCTTCACTGGGTGGTGGGGGAATGGTCTTACAGTACCACCCCAGAATGGAATTTCTAAATTCTGGTTTTTTTCTAGGGTGCTATTGCTCACCCTGCAAACCTGACTTATTAACCATAGAGTTTAGGTAATTAAAATAGGAAGCTGACTGATAAGACATTAAACCAGGATGTATAATACAGATGTCTAAGGAGGATGATATTCCCAGGGCTCTAGGAAGCATACTAATCAGGCTTTAATCAGGAACTCAACATTCAGAGAGAAAGAGAATTAATTCAGAATGAAAGATGAGGAGGGAGGGAGGGAGGGAGGGAGGGAGGGGGGCAGGGCTGGCTTCCTGGGTGTGTGACAAGCGCCCTGGACAGAGTCCTGCCTCGGGGGTCCTGTGCTTGGTTAAAAGCTCTGCTGATACTATCTTTTTTTTTTTTTAATCCTCACCCGAGGATATATTTTTCCATTAAGGGGGGGCTGCTGACAGGCAGAGTGTGTAGAGAGAGAGAGAGAGAGAGAGAGGGAAGAGGAAGAGGGAGAAGAAGGAGAAGAAGAAGAAGAAGAAGAAGAAGAAAAAGAAGAAAAGAAGAAGAAAGAAGAAAAAAGAAAAGAAGAAGAAGAAGAAGAAGAAGAAGAAGAAGAAGAAGAAGAAGAAGAAGAAGAAGAAGAAGAAGAAGAAGAAGGAGAAGAATTTCAAAAATCTTTCTGAATGAATCTCTTCTTGGTAGGGGGCAAACCCTGAAACCCCCTCACATGAAAGTGTATGCTGCAGTAGACTCTAGGTAAGAAATTTCCTGATAATCTGCGACAAAGAGATGCAGCTGCATACTTCTCTGGGATACAAAACCAGCTTAAACCAACACTGTTTTAGACCTTCTTGGCCTAATAATTTTCAGAGAAACAACCATGCATACAGGGTGACAAGAAGGAGTGAGAAATTCCCTCAAGCAGGCTTCTGAGGCAGACACACCTTCTTAGCAAGTTAGGGGGTCTAACCTGACAGGATGTCTTATGTGCTGGGAAAGGTGGGATTGAGGTGTTTCTGAATTCCAAGCTCTATACAAATCTATGTTTCTATAAAGTGCCTTTTTCTGAAAAAAAAAGAGAGAGCGAGAAAAGGTTCAAAATGTTACTCGTTTAATTATAGTATATAGTTGACAATTCTGAGCTCTTCTCCATTTGTAAAGATGTTGATAGAGAATATAGTCTCCTAGAAGGCAGAACCTGGAGAAATGTGCCCATAAAGGGATAATATATACATCCCTTATCTCCTTCCTAATTTTTACAAACTTGGGACCAAAGTTTGTCAAACAGTGGGGCAAGGATGGTGACAGAACTACAGGCTCACATACTAAGAAGCAAACACTTGATGCCTAAAATAGATATCCATGAAAAAGAATTACTCACAGTTCACCAGTAACCATTCCAAATTTATGGTTTTAACATATTAGTCAATAGTGATAACATATGTTCTCTTCAAATAGCTTTTCAAAGTCTGCTGTAGTTTTCCCAGTGTTCATAGGCAAGTTAAAACTTACTGATAAGTTTAAACAAAAAGAACCCATAGAAGAGAACTGAGTGGGTTTACATTGTTGAAGAAGTTTTGTGACAACAAATGAAGTGATAGGAACAATTGTTAAGTGAAATAAGGACTCAAGATTAGATACTAGTATTGTATCTATGTTAAATTTCCTGAATTTAGTCACTGTATTGTGGCTATCTAAGAGAATGCCTTTGTTCTTTAGAAATACACACCAAAGTATTTAGGAAAGAGAATGATAAAGCAACCTTGGCAAAATGTTAATAGGTGAATCTGGGTGAAGGATACAAAGGAATTTCTTGTACTATTATGTTTTTAATATGTTTGTATTGATTTTAGAGAGAGAAGATGGGAGGAGAGAGAGAGAAACAACGATGTGAGAGAGAAACAACATTCACCTTCCTCCTGCATTCCCTCTACCGGGGATCAAACCTGCAACCCAGGTATGTGCCCTGACCGTCAACCTCTTGGTGCATGGATGACACTCAACCAACTGAGCCACACTGGCCAGGGCTCCTGAAATGATTTTTATGATCTTCTATTAATTACCTTGAAATTATTTCAAAATAAAACATTTACAAACACTGAATGAAGTAATTTTAGGTTAATATACTTAACACTATACTTGTAGATATTCAGTTTTCTCCAAGGATTGATTTAACACCAAGAGATCTCTTTTAAAAGATGCATCCTATAGTTAAGTCTTTTTAAATTGTAAGGCCACCTTTAGAAGAAAAGGAATTATTGAAATAATCCATGTCTGTCTCATAACTGACGATTTTTCCAACCATGGGTCATCACTTACATTTGATTATTTGTTTATGTTAATATCAAGTCACTCCTTTGGTATTTTATATTTCGGAATCAGTACACTATTTATATTTGTCTAGAAGAGATTTCTATTACCTTACTTCTTTTGTGTCACACACAGCAATTGACAGATAGCTGAGCCGAATCTTAGGAAACAGCAATGCAGCTTTAACAAATAGAGTAAATGCTTATAAAAAACAATCAGAGGAGATTACCTGAACTGTTAGTCTCACAAGACAGAATCCTAGAATACTCAAGTTTCTCATCCTACAGAAAGAATTTCCAGGTTAGGTTACAAAACCATAATTACAAAACCATAATTAATCACAACAAAATCATTTTCAAAATCCTGTTTTTAAAACATTCCCTAAAATAAAAAAGCCATAAAAAGACTATATAAGGAATGAAAAGAAAGGGGAAATTGCAAAAGTAATTTATTAAATGAAGAAACATAAACAACATTTATTAGCATCAATGGCTACAGAGAAGCAGCCTATAAAACTCACATTCACAATTTACTGGCTGAGAAGTACTGACACATTCACATATAACATTAGCACTAATTTTCCAAGGTGGTTTCCAAGGAAATGCAGCATTTTCCCATTTACAAGGCTGAAAAGATTAAACCCACATTCAGTTAAAGTGGAGCAGGATCTCAAGCACTCAAGTTGTAAATTACCAAAAGAGACTATCATGTCCCTTATGAAAGATGATAAGATACAAAAATGATACTCATCTGCCATCAAAAACAATTTCTCAGGTTGCAGTGGGCCTTTTCACTCCAAGAACTGTGTGAGAATTTTTGTAAGTAACTAATGGTAAGAGATGGGCAAGGGCTGAGTTTTCCCCAAAAGTAAAGGCAATTTACACTTGCCCTTCCATAAGTCCAAATGCCAACATATTTACTAGAGACACTCATGTGGATGATGTTGTTTCTTTTCTAACAGTAAAAAAATAATAATAACCTGTTTATGGATTTGAATAACTATAATAAAACTCCTTCAATATACATGGCACTTTAAAAATATTTCCGAATCTATAACTAATTTGATCTTTTCAACAACCTTGTGAGGTAGGCTGGGCAAGTATATCATCCAAATTTGGTAGATAAGGAAAGTGAAGCATAAAGCAGTTGTAGGGCTTAACAAGGAGATGCCAATCTCTATACTGCACTGTCTCCAGTAATGAAGAAAGTCTAAATATGTTTGAAGATCTTATTTCAATATATTTTGGGGAAATACTTCACTTCTAACGAGTGAAATCATAATAATTCAACTGGAGCAGCTGTCATGACAAGTTGTGGCATATAATTTAGACAAAGCATTGAGAGTTTTTAAAATTGGAATTCTAACTGAAAACCACATTTTAACTCTCAACATGTGAGGGAATCTGCTGGTTTTTTTGTTTTAGGTCAACCTAGATCTGCAGTATGAACTATAATTTTACCATTTCAGTTCACCATGACAAATTTTCACCCTACAGAAAAAAAATTAGTGGTTTCTCTCCCCCAAAATGAATGGACACACATGGCCCCAAAGCAAGGGTATCTGTATATAAGGCTTAAAGATGACAAAATGTCCAATTTAGTTACCAAACTTCTTTGTCCTGATATAAGTGGCTTATAATTGGGCTTTGAGAATCTGACAGGCCATCACTGTTAGTTTGATTTGAGATCACTCAAAAATGCTTACCTATTTTCTACATTGAAATGATTTAAAATGTATTTGAAGACAAGCTTCCAAACCAAGGCTGGGAAGTACCAGTCTTTCCATCCCTGTATAATTCTGACAACTATTCCTGCTCAAACTAACCATTTTTAACTTGTCCCCTCAGAGTCTGCCCATTAGAATCTGGATTGGTCAGAAAGTTCAGCCAAGTATTTAGACTGTCAACTCTGATTGACCTGTAATGTACAGCCTACTTAATGACAGGTCACCTGCTTCTAGGTATTTCATTATCAAGGTTCTTATGGTGGGCATTAAATCCAGGCATTTTCCCAAGACAACTAAGGATATCCTACACAATCCTTTTATGAAGCAAATAGGATTCAGAAATTATACTGAAGATCGGAGAGTATAGAAGGATAAAATTGGAGATCTTGTACAAATTAAATAATAACAACACCAAATCAAAATGCATTCAGTTAAAGACAAATATCTTCTGGTCATTTCATCACTTTCTATAATTTAAGTTTCTGAAGTCAACATCTAACTTGGGGGGAGAAAAAATAATCCTTTTTCCTTCAACTAATAAAAAATGAAATGTCCTATATACCTGTGTAGATGAAAGATTTCTGTAGAGTTTTCTAGAAAAACTTAACCAAAATAACTTTTTTTTAACCTAACCAAAGTACATATTGTCTTCAAATTTCCTAACAGGTAAGGAAGAAGTGGAGTAAAGACTATGAGTTTTATTTTCTTCTTTCTTAAGAAGGCAAATCCTAGCAAATTCTACTAGAAATTCCCCAGAATTGTAGGACAGGACTAAACCTTGAAGAGGTTTAAGCCTACCTTCTTACTGATTCACATCTTCAACCTTCCCAAGAAGTTAAGAATTCTGCTTACAAAAGCCTACATAATTTTGATGTTTTAACAACCCTCTTGTTCCAGAACTTCAACATATTGAAGGAACGCATAACTTTCCTAAAATTCTAGGGCTTCCATAATGAAATTTAGAATTCAATGTTGTATCCATGGATCTTTGGGTATAAAGTCTCCAAATCTAGACTTTTAAATCAATTAGAGATAGCAGACCAAGATGGCTACAGTTGGTTATATAAAAAGAGCCCTAATGAAATGAAAATGAAACACCTGTCTATTCAAAACTGAAACTTGAACAGCCCTCTCTGAAAACTCTGACAGTAATGATGTTGCCAATGGCAAAACACAGTCACAGCTGGCTGATCATCAAGCCAGCTCTTGGATGCAAACTATGCTCAGGGATAATAAAAAAATTAGGCTACACAGACTAGAAGTCTAGAAAACTAGAAAATAAGAAAGCCCCTGTGCTCATTATAAATCTAACCAGCTCAACTCAGATATCATGAGTACTTTGTCAGTGAAAAACACACACACACACACACACATACACAGTAATGCCTGGGTGAACATGGTCAACTGTGAATGGTGGTGCCTTAGACTGCTCCTCTAACCCTCAGAAGTTTCCCTGGCTTCTCTCCATAGTTCTCACACACCCAAGTATTCTCTAAATGGGAGTAACTCACAAGGAGGTGAGAGCTAACTTCCTGCTTTGTTTACTGTGTGGGGCTCATCACTTGTATGAAGAATAGTAATCAACCCAAAAAACAATATGTCTTTGGCCCAAGAAACTCAGGTCCTATTAAGCAGAGCAGAGATCATCAGCATTCAAGATCTGGCTAGGCATAGAACTTATTTTACTACTAGAAGGTGTTTCATCTCTGTCTCCGGATGACCTTACATCTGTCTTTCCCACAGAATCTGAGGATTTCTGCCACCGGCAGTGACAGCAAATACATTTTAGCCACCGCTGAAAGCTTTCAGAAACACTGGAGGAAAAGAGCTTTTTGCAAGGGTGGAAGAACTGATAGAATACCAGCATGAATAGAATGGCTGTGCAATACCCAATGAGCAACTTCAAAATCAACAGAGGTGCACACACATACATATAGATGTCAGTCTTGTAAAGATACCACATAAGGAGGAGGAAGGAGTTCTCAATGAATCTCAGCATGTAGTACACCAGTAGCCGGTACCAGTTCTGAGACTTGCTGATAAGGTCGGGGCTGTTGATTTTCAGCTGCACAGCTGACCAGCAAAACATGTTGATGCCGGCATAAAGTAAGGTGAGGAAGCACAGCACGATGGTGGTGCCCACTCGACTGAGGGCCTTCTCGATGTTCTCAGGAAATGGGGAACCACTGCACCAGAAGAGGATCCAGGGGTATAAGAAGAAGCTGAAGAAGTTGATGAGTATTACCAGTACCACCCAGGCCTTCAGGACAGATGTAAAGAGGACCAGGACAATGACTCGAGTGGCAATCTCAAAGCTCCTCCAGAGAAAGATGCAGACATAGGCCAGAGGCTTCACTTTTACATCATACTCATCATACTTGATCTTGATGGCTAGGATGTTGCAGCGCAAGGCTCCATACACAATGGACAATAGGGATAGTAACATGCAGACACCTGGGGAGAGATGAGAAAGAGCATTGTCAAGTCTCACCTCCACCAAGAATCCTACTATGGCAGACATGTGTCAGCCCTCTACTCATGGTGATAGCTAATAATGTTCCCTTTATTGGCTATCTTCTCTTTCCTGTTTCCTTTCTTTTTTCCCATGCTCTTTCCACCTTCCACCAAACATACATGCACTCAAATCCTTGTCTTGGAGTCTACTTCTGGGTTAACTCAAACACCTTTCTGACCCCGTTGCTCTGCCTGAATCCATAGAGCCCATTACATGGTGTGTTTTGTTTCTTCAATTGGCTTCTAAGTTCCTGAGGAGTCAAGAGTGCAATGTCTGATATTTCTTCTTGATCTCAACATATGCCAGTAGAAGGTACACAACAGAAGGAGCTCAATAATAAATAGCTCTAGCTGCAGGACTTTTTATATTTACATACTAACTATTCTTTACTTTTCTCTACTCTTCAGTTATATTCTTAAATTCTACAGATTGCTAAAGAAATGAGAACCTCACGGTTACTGAGTCAATCTGCCTTGGGCTGAAAGACCTGTGCTTTAACAAGTTTCAAATCTAAGCTTTTTTTTTTTCTTAAAATGACTTATGGCTAATGGGTTTATCCAGGTTTATACAAAGCAGCAGAAGATATGGTTCATATAAGTGGAGCACCATGCCGTGTTTGATAGCACGACACTGCTGGCTATGAGTTCTACTATCTAAGAAATATGCTGTCAACTCAAGGGCACAAACTGTGAGGTCAAAACATAATCACTTAACATAAGCCTGCCACCAAGTCCAAATACTCGAATAAAGAGGGACAGGGCTCAGGGCTTGGAGTTAGGAACCAAGAATCTGGCTCTGGTTTTAGTCTTGTCTTGCCAGGCCACACTGGGGAAATAGCAATCTCTCTGGGTTCTGTTTTCTGATCCATAAAATTGAGGTAACACCTTCCATGCCTGCTTCTTAAAATGCAATGTCATTGTAATATAATTGCCTCTTCCTAAATGTGTAACTTTAAATGCATGGGAATAAAGGTTGTCATTTTTTTGTTTGTTTGTTTGATTTTTCTGAATCAATGGGGAAAAAATCTATATTTTGGTGGGCATAAAAACTCTGAAGCCTTGGTACTTATTTGCCTGGGAGAAGCTCAATTTTATGCAAAGCATCAATATTTCTTAGTCTTTGGAACTGATTTAAGCGATCAATATCATTCACTGGAAAGACTGTTGTCTACTAATCAAATTTAAAAGATAGAAATACTACCACAAGAATAGATTGGGAGGTAATTGGACTGAGTTATTTTTCTTGAGAGGCTAATTCGGTAAAATATTGTAAAGTAGTACATATTGTATGCTTACAAATTTCTATACCATAAGAATCTAGTATTGAATCCTTTTCTTTTAGTCCTTATGATTTTCCACTACAAGAAAAATATTTCAAATGCAGATGAGCTAAGTATAAATAATTAAAATGTAAATTATGAATTTATACACATACAGTATTTATATTGTTTATATTTATGGTACTTAAACTCCAAATTATTTATTGCTTTTAGCAATGTAATGACCCAAGCGATTTTTAAGCATCTATCCATTTTTCTTTTATTAGATCATTTCCAAATTATATCTTTTTCTCTATCAAAAGAGTTCAATTATATCTTTTACTCTATCAAGAGAGTTACTAAATTACTACCCAATTGAAATAATCTTGAAATTACTGACTTAAATTATCACTCTCAGTATTGGGTGCTCAATGCAAAATATCACAGATAGAAAGGGAGGCAGTAAGAGATACGCTTGGGAGACAAGAAGCTTGTAGAAAATGTTTGGAATGTATATTTCAACCTGTAGAATTAAGCTGTTATCTAATGAATGGCTAGGATGATGCTCACACAAATATCTACTTATTCAGACTTAAGTGAAAAAAAAAAGTTCCCCAACTTTATCTTCCAACAGTAAACACAAAAGGGGACCAGTTGACAGACCCACCTATATAAGTGGCACTTCATAGAAGTCTAATATTCCCTAATACTTATATTCTTATTGTGTGTGTGTGTGTGTGTGTAGGTGCATTTTGCTGTTTTCATCTTTTATTAGAATGCAATACATCACTTTAGGTAAAGCTAAAAGGAAGGCTTTGGCAATATTCCAAACCCTTGCCACACTTATAAAACTTCTTTCCACACAATTCCAGCCAAATGAACTCTTTCCAAATGAATTCTCTTCACAGTTCACAAATAAATTAATTTGTATTAGGAATGAATTTGCTCATTTCTTGACTTGATACCAAAAACTTAATCTCCATGTTAAGTGATTAAAACAATTTCTTCCCCTGGGTTTCTTAGGAAGAAATTTTAGTTGTAGGACAAAAGGAACACTTTTTCTGTTGCTTTAGAGAGATAATAAAGGCTGCTCCCAAGATGGAAGATGCTAAGTGACTGTTCTCTGTAATGTGACCACTCTCAGTGGCACTGGATCTTCAATAAAATGACTGAACTTGTGAAATGTTTGGGTGGAATAGATTTTTGAAAAAAAATTGTGAATGGATTCAAGGAAGGAACTGAAGAAGCCTGAAGAGATATGATGTGCAGTGGGACTGGGAACTGAAATTTTAACCAGATTTCTGAAGGTTCTTTTTGACTCAACTCAGTAGACAAAGTGGCTGTGTCACTATCTGGAGCCAGAATCATCACTTGTACTATACTCCATTACTGCCTCCTTCTCAAAAATCTTGTTCCATCAATTATCATTTTTCTCTTCTAAACTTTCAACTGTTCCTTCTATCTTGACTTATTCCTGAGTGTATAAATAAATATACCTAAGTCAACTGCATCTTAAAAAAATCACAACTTGGCAAAAATGTACAAAATTGTGGAAGCTATGTGATAGATACATGGAAATTCATTATAATATCCTCTCAATCTATTTGTATGTTGGAAAATTTCTAAAACAATACTAAAAGGAAAGGAGGGAAGAAAGAAAGAAGGAAGGACAAAGGAAAATGAGGGTAGGAGGGAGGAAGAACCCCTCTCTTCACTCTGCATTTCTTTCTTTCCACTCCATTACTGCACTCTCCTTGACACTTTCCAGTCAACCGTCCGGAGTTATCGTTAATCAAAACACCCACTTTCTAATCCTCAACTCCTTGCAATCTGGATTCTGGTCTTGCACCTACCTGATGTCTCTGCAACATGTGACATTGTTCATTCCCCACCTTCTTGAAATTTTTCCTGTAGAATTGATCATATCATTTTCTTCTAATCATCCTCTCACTGTCTTTGTACCCCTTCTCATTTTGTACCATAGTTTTATTTTCCCCTTCTATCCAAGGGCCTACCAGATAGATATCTTTTCCTAGATCTTACAGGTGACTAAAAAAAAACCACAAAAACAAAACTTGTATTTTCCTGAAAATCTCCTCTTAAATTTCCTCTAGAAGTCCATGATACTACTACTGCAGATCATTCTATCAAAAAACCTGTGTTAACTTGAACTTTTCACCTTCCTCTCCTATCACACCCAAACAGATCTCTAAGTGTAGCTCATTGACCAGCAACTCTATCACTGATGGAGTTTGTTAGAAGTGCTCCACCTCAGACCCATTGAGTTAGAATCTGCATTTTATCAAGATTGTTCAGGTGAGCCGAAACCAGTTTGGCTCAGTGGATAGAGCGTCGGATTGTGGACTGAGGGGTCCTGGGTTCAATTCCGGTCGGGGGCATGTGCCTGGGTTGCGGGCACATCCCCAGTGGAAGGTGTGCAGGAGGCGGCTGATCAATGTTTCTCTCTATATTTTTTTAAAAAAAGATTGTTCAGGTGATATGTGTGACCATTAAAGTTGGAGAAGTAGTGCTTTAAGCTATTTTCCTCCTTCCATTCTGGTTCTGTCCCTTGATAATTTTCATGTGCTTCTTGCCACAGGGTACTAATTCATTTGTTTCTCTACCAACAGCCTTCTTCTCTTTGTCTGCCTGAATAAATCATACTTGTTCTTCAAGTTTCAGTTAAAGTGTTACCTCATTAGTGATGCTTTTCCTCAGCCTTTATTTGATGACATTCATTCAGTTGTGCTAAATGCTTCCAAGATTCTCCCAAGCTCAGTTAACTCACTCTTTTGGGGTCTCACAGGCACCTATGCATACCTTAATTTCATCACTTGATACCTTTGATTTAATGCACTCTCCTAGAGGTTCATGAATATTTTTATCACTATCACAGAACATAATACAGTTACTGGCTCAGAGTAAGTTATGATTTATGTATGTTGAATAAGTGAAGGAGTTAAAAATTGTACAATATGTGAACTGCCTTTTTTCACCATGGAATGAGATATTTAGGCTCCAAATCTCTCACAGACATAATTGAAGTGAGCAATGGGACTCTCATAGCCCCTTACCAGGGGATGACTTCTGGGGTTATGGGGTTCCTATGCAAATACATCTGCTTTCATATGCCTTTCTCAATTAAGATGTTACACCTGGGGTGGGGATAGGTAAAAAAGGTAAAGAGGAATAAGAAGTTCAAACTTCCAGTTTTAAAATAAATAAATCATAGGGAATATAGTCAATTATATCATAATAACTTTTTACAGTGACAGCTGGTTACTATACTTCTTGTGGTGATATCATAAGGTATGTATATACTGAATCACCATGTTGTACACCTGAAATTAATACAATACTGTATGTCAACTATACCTTTAAAAAACAAAGTTGTACCTGTTTCCAACATTTCCTGAGAAGTAGCATCCAAATTAGAAAAAGGGTTCTGAGATTTGTCTTACCCTAAAATATTTTATGTAAGGGACATAAGAGGACTGAAAAACAGGATGATGTAGGAATAGTGCAAGATTCTCTGACCACAGAGTAACTAAGGAATCCAAGTACTGTTTCAGAATTATGTCTGGATTATCTTGGCAGTGTTGTATCTTCCTGGCTAGTTCTTGAGATCACTGTTCTTGCTGTATTCCATGGTTTACACCCTGGAGTTATCCTTGACCACTT